CTGTGTGACAAAGGCTGCTTGTGAATTCACTTCTAATCTTCCTAAGACTTTCCAAAATCCTGCGTGACAGCCTGTCAGTCCACCAACCCACTGTACTCGGCCCGGGGAGGGACATCGAGCCAGGCCTCTGGAACGGTGGGGGCATGACAGCGACCACTATGCTATAGTTCTTAACGAAAGTCCTATAGTAGCCTGTCATCCCTAAGAAAGATTTCATCTCAGTCACAAACTGAGGACGTGGCCAATCACGAATGCTGGCCACCTTCGCGTCATCGTGCTTCAACCCTTCTGCGGATATCTCATGACCCAAGTACAAGACACGGGTGCGGCCAAACTCGCACTTCTCACCGTTGATCTTGAACTTGTGCTGTCGCAGGAGGCTGAGGACTTTGTCCAAATGTGCAACATGCTCCTCGACAGTCTTACTAAAAATAAGTATGTCATCGAGATAGAATATCCGATTCAGAGCGTGCTGAAAGGTGCCAGGAGCATTGCAAAGGCCGAACGGCATCACCACAAACTTGTATAGATCGTACCTGGTCCGAAAAACGGTTTTGTGCTGATACTTGGGCCGGATTGCAATCTGATGGTACCCAAACTTCAGGTCTATCTTACTGAAGTAACGACAACCTTGCACTCTATCTAACAGATCATCGATGCATGGTAGAGGCTCTCTGTTCTTTACAGTGATGGCATTGAGGCCCCTATAGTCAATGCACATCCTAAGTGTGCCCTCCTTCTTCTTAGGTACGAATAGTACTGGGGATCCATAAGGAGAGACACTCGGCCGGATCCAACCCTTCTCTACGAGTTCCTTGAGTTGTCGGCGAAACTCGTCAAACTCGCTTGGAGACATCCGATAGATCCTAGAAAATAACCAAGAATCAAAAAACAAATCAGCGTTTGCGGAATGACCAGCGAAACTGCCACTCGACACGAGAGCTGAGTTACATCCCCAATGTCAAAGCGCTCTCGCTCGATGGTCCACTCCCATCCATCTCAAAGCACTAGGTGGGGGTGACCCTGGGACGAGCGGCCCGCGCCCTCAGCATGAGCGTGGGCGGGCCGAGTCAACGGGGACCCACAGCAGGGTCGACCAAATCTCGAAAGTCTACCGGGGTTCGGCCCTACAACGTCGTTCCTCGACGATCAACAACGTTGAAAATCGCGACGTCCCGACGAAAGACGTACAACGCCGTTGATCAAAGAGCGAGCGAGCAAGCGAGCAAGCGAGCGAGCGAGAGACAAAAAGAGAGAGAGAGAGAGAGAGAGAGAGAGAGAGAGAGAGAGAGAGAGAGAGAGAGAGAGAGAGAGAGAGAGAGAGAGAGAGAGAG